CTAAGTATTCAACTCAAAGTTAAGCGGAAACCGATGATATGAGATGAACTAGGAACGGCATACTGATGAGGTGGCAATTAGGTATAGAGCGAACTATATTTAAGGACTCGGAACTAGCGACACTAAAAGAGCGCGACGCAGGATCGCAGATAAACTATAAGACTTTCCAGAAACGAAGGGGGAAACCTGCCGTTTCCCACTTTTGTGCTTCTTCCTACCCCTAACACACACTGCAGACAAAAACACACACAAGAGATCTTGAGTTGGCAGCATCGTAATCGTTTCTTTAGTCGACGATGGGAAAGAACTAGCAAAAATTAGCAAAATTTAAAATTGATTATGTATCACACACAGACGCACACCTCTCACCTATACACAAACATCCAGACACCATGTATATAAGTATGTATATTCCTTTGAGCTGAACATTGTATAACCGAACGATTACGATACCATACACACACGAAAAAAAAAACCCAAAAAACTAAAACCAAGAAAACAAGGACACACCGAGGTGTGTAAAGGGTTCTTTGCTTACAACTTTTCAAACGTATTAAACCGTTTCGGCCAACCTTTAGGATTGACAAAAGATCGACTTGAGGAACACAGCCCCGCCCACTGGGCTCCAAAAAAAAAGTGAGCAGTGGGCGAAGGGGAAATTGCATCGTTTCGGTTGATGGATGCAAACGATCGAAATTTATTGGGCCTTCTGGGCCCAAAATGAAACCAAATCAAGCCATGAAATTGATTTATGTTCAATTAAGCAAACAAAAAACAAAAGGCGAAAATTGTGAAAAATATAGAAAAATGAATACTTTCAGTTACAATACAACAATAGACCGGAATGATTTCCAAGCAATAGTACAAACAACTTTAGAGATAACTTTTATAATGTAATTGTAAACTAAGTGGTAGTAGGAGAGCTCCGGGAAATGCAAAGGCGGGGATAAAAGCCAAAAAAAATCCTAGAAATCCCGGAGCTAGGTGAGAATCAAATGAGAGGAAACCCCGCGAATGCATATACGATTTACCCTAATTTATTCTCAGTTAAAATTTTAACACACATTGATTTCCAATTTGATTAGTGCGAAGTAAGCGAAATTGATGGCCAGCAGAAGCCGAAGACATTTTCGAAATTCCACTTGACATATGACCGCAGGACCTTCCCTTCCTCAGAAGCTGGAGGCCAAAAACAAACGATTGAATCAAGTCACTTCACACACAGTTTAAATTTATAAGAATATGTACTATCAATAGGAAACGTCACCCAAGTTCCCGATTTACCCAAACCCCAGTGTCCCCAAAACTCACACATTACTATTTACCACAATATGAAACGAAAGCAAAGAAAAGAAAAGAAAACCAAAAGTAATGCAAAAGTAAAATCAAGCAAAACAAACATATATGAATGTAATACGCGGTGGAAACATACAAAGTTGGGAAACGAGAAAATTTCACAATCGACTATGTCGCGTATCCACTTACGATAGTACGATATACTAACTTTATATGATTAACTAACTCATTTCGAATGAACCATAGCGATATATGTATAAGCCACGTTTTGGTTTCGGTTTCGATTTCGGTTCCGTTTTATACTTTTGGTTTGGTGTACACTTTTGGAAACTTCGGAAACGCATTTCAGGCCAACAAATTACATGAAAAATAAATACCCCTTTTGGACCAGTTTTGTTCCCGCAAAATCGGAAAAAATCGCACAAAATTGTACATTTAGCGCAAACCAAAAAAGAAAATTGCAATTAAAAGCCCCGAAAACGGAAAATCGAAATTTGGATTTACATTTAGAGAATGCATTTAGCGCAAAGCAAAAGCAAACGACACCACACCACACAACACCATCACACCACAAAAAATGAATGAAAATATGTATGAGGTAAATTCAGTATTTGGGATATAAGCGAATATAATTACATACAAATTTATATTTATGCAAGCGACAAAATCGAAAGACATCATACTAAAAACGTGTAATGGAAAGGAAATTGTAAAACAAGAGGAAAACACTAAACTACAATATGACATTTTTAATCGAAAAAAAACAAACAACTTATTTTATTGAAAAATTATGTAAAATTTACTAAGGAAAAAATACAAAAAACACACAATAAAACTATATTGTTTATTTTCATCTTTAAAAATAAAGTTTTAAAATCGTATAAAAATAGTAATTGAGTTGTCGGTGTTGTTTCTTCTTCTGGGAAAATGAAGGGTAAGTAATTGAGCGGTGATAAAGGCTTCATACACATGGGTTCATACACATTAAGCCATGTTATGCGTCTTTTAAAATATGTACTTGTTTTTGCAACTAAAACTTTTGCTAGATCTGTCTGTGTATACCCAGTCGGACCGTCAGGCATGTGGTGCTTGATTCCACAATAATTTCCATAGGAAAAATTCAGGGGTTGGCACCACTTGTACTTTTTCTGGGGGCTTCAGACCTTTTTCCATAGGAATTTCCTATGTAAAGCGGAATGGACTTTGTCCATAATGGACTTTTTCCATAGGACAAATTTTTCCTATGGACAGGTCCGAATGGGTATAGACTTGAGGTCTCTAAAAAATAACGGATGCCTGCGCTTCCTTGAACCATTCTATAAGCAAAGATGAAGATCCCTCTTTCAACGAACTTAATTGAAAGGGGAAAAGGATTCCTATCCACAAAATTACTACTGACATACGTGTCGTATGAGTAATTTTTGAAATTGGAGATGTATCCGCGACACACACCTTTTATCTAATACATACTCCATTCTAGCGAATGCACCTACCATATTCGATTAACCGAATTTGGTTATCGAAAATGTGCCGTCGCTAAAGCATCTAGGAACAACAACAAAAACAGCTGTTCGTACATTACGCAAAGGTTTTTTCCACATTTGTTTATTAAAAATGTCGCTGTTGGGCGCCTTTGCCAGGTGAGTGGATGCAGCTGCTCCCTTGGAACACCTCTGTTAACTCCTGGCTGAAATATTCCGTCACAGATTGGGTTTGCAGAGATGTGGAGGGTATACCGGCGTCGCGGTTGCACGTTGCTTCCAAACGACTTCTGTTCTCTGCGCGGAGCCCCTCAAGAAAAAGAAGAAACTGGATCCCCAGATCGTCAAACAGCGCGAGGATCGCAAGAAGAAGAAGATTGAGAAGCAGATCCGCCGACTGGAGAAAAATGCGCGGCAGCTGAAGCCCGTGGAGGAACTGGAGGTTCCCCTGGAGCTCATCGATGAAAAGGAGTAGGTTTTTCATTGTATTTTCCTGCAATACAGAGATGTAAAGCCTTCCCATCCTTTAGCAAACGCCAAAGGAAGCTCACCCCACTGGGCAGCGCTGAGTTGGAGGAACGTGCTCTCCTTAAAAAACAGTGGGCGCACTATAACACGAAGAGCGCGTAGCCGACTTCCAAATCATCGACCGACTGGTCCAGGCACAAAACAAGGCCTGGCGGAGCTCCGCCGGGAATCCGAGGAGCTGTACCAGGCGGCCATCGAAATCGATCCCCAGTTGCTGCCCGTCGCTGTCAAAGGACCCGTGGCCACGCCCCCCATCAAGAACTATGTCAGTCCCGATGGAGATTACCTGCATCAGTCCATGAAGTGGGAGGTCAAGTGAGGTGGTGTGCATGAGGCCATAGATTTGAAATAAATGGAACCCTTAATCCTAAAATAGCGAGTTTTCTTTCATTGAGTTGTATATTCCACTGGCGATGTCTGTATTGCATTTTTGAAGGAATCTCACCCTCTGGAATAAGCACCTCTTTTGGAGTCAACTTGGTGCGTTGTGTGGCGGTTTTATTGTTATCAGTGGAGAACGAGAATAGGGCAGGCGGGGATGCCTGCCGAGCCCTTTCGGTGAACTGTCGAAATAAATAATACGCGATAGACGTAGCAGTAGCTGCTACTGATGTTGATCTTGATCTTCGGATGGGATTGCGGAGCGACTCCTTACGAGGGGGTGGTAGCGTTGGTCTTGGCAGCGGCCTGCCGCTTTTTCACGCCCCAGTTGTATACCCGCGCCATGTTCACCTCAGTGGTTGTGATTTGATCCCTAAAACAAAGGATTACTGTAAGGAAATGTTCTTTCTGGGGGTAGAAGGCATCCCAACTGACCTCAGAAAGTCCTGGTCGTGCTCCACGGACTTCAGGTTGCCCACGGCCGATGTGAAATTCTGCTTGAGCAGCGCCTCAGCCTCGTCCAGTGGGTATTCCAGCATCACGCTGGCCCCCAGCCAGAGGTAAACTGTTTTCGTGGGCGGCACCAAGGTTTTGATGAACACCTGGTCGCTGAGCAGGAACTGCGTCTCGCGCTCCTCGTCCTCCTTGCGCAGCACATTCACCATTTCCAGGGAGCGCTCCAGGTCGGGGAATTTGGGACTTCAGCTTGCGTCGTCGCGCCTCCAGGTTGTAGGCCATAAATCGATACTTGCCGTGCTGCTCGTCCAGTCGCTGGAGCACCTTCTCGCAGTTCTCGTTCTCCGGCTGCGCCATGAATGAGTCAATCTCCTCCTGCAATGGCCGAAGGAACGTGGATTAGCCTCCAGTCGCCAGCTGCAGGTGCACGCTTGTAGGTTAGGACCACTCACCAGGAACACTGCCTCCGGGATGCCAGCGAAGGTCTTCTGGTTTTCCGGTAATTTGGGCATTTCCACCGAGTCCATAATGCCAGTCATCCTGATGCCTTTATGCGTGCAGTCTCTAAATGCAATTTAATTTCCAGGAGGTCAGCCTGCCGCTGTAAAAGTCGATGGAGATGAGTCAAAATTGCGACGGAACTATTGATTGGGTGCTGCAAGCTGAGATTATCGATAGGTATAAGTCGCACAATCTATTAATACATTTACTTTTTTTTTTTAATATATATTTAGTTTTAAACTTAGAACGTACAAAATCAGCTGTTAAATAAAAAAAAATTTGAATATAAATTAAAAACATTTAAAAAACTTTTCGATACTGTCATCTCCAACACACATCGATAGATCAAAAAACCGATTGACCTGCTGCGTCGATTAACGCGGTCGCTTGTGAAATTGGCGAACAAATAATTGCGACCTGAAATAAAATAGCAAAAGATGAGCACCTGGAATCCCGAGAACGATGTGGACCTCTTGTCCGGTTCCGAGGATGAGGAGGAAGTGGCCATGAAGCGGGACTACCATGGGCGAGAGGCCCTTCTTTTCGTGGTGGACGCAAATCTGCAGACAGCCGGCGTGGATCGCCTGATGGATGCACTGAACATCATTCGCACAGCCTTTATTTCTGGGATCCTGGTGAACGACAAGGACCTCATTGGACTAGTCTTTGCCAACACAAAGCACAGTCCGCTGCCGCTGGAGGCCAACGCCTTGGACAACATCGTGATGCCCGAGGATTGCGCTGTGTTCCTGCCTCTAAGACAGCTAACCAAACCCATTGTGGAGCACTATCTGGAGTTCATGGGCGGGGTGGAGACACAGTTCGCCAATGTGTACGGCCTAGTTGAGCCCGATGGCCACGGAAGGTTTGACCTTATGATCCGGCTTTGCATCGAAATGCTGGAGAAGTGCGGCAAGAAGCTGAACAATGCCAAGATCGTTTACTTGACCGATGTGAGCACGCCGCATCCGTCGTCCAGTAACCACTTCAGGCAGCCCTGCAAAAGGCCAGCGATTTGGAGGGGAAGGAATTCGAGTTTCATGTTATTCCCATGGTAGATGACTTTGACTACGAGCCCTTCTACAAAGAGTTCATCACTCTCTCAAGGGGTAAGTCACATAAATAGAATTTATGATCCATTTCCTTAAGTCTAACATATGCGAAGTCTGTTCCCCTCCTTGGCGTTGAATTTTCGCCTGGAAGGTTTTAAGACTTCGCAGATCAAACATGAGCAATCATTCACCCGCGTCCAAGTGAAGCCCAATTGGTTCATGGTTTTGGATTGGCTTACAAGTTAAAAAATACTTTTAAATTCTAAATTGGAATACTCTCTTTATATACTCCTTAATATACAATCTATTTACAGCCATTGAAATGGACTCCTTCCAAGTACCGGATGCCCAAATGTTGCGAGAGATCCTAGCAGATCGCAAGCTCAAGCAGGACTTCCTTCGCCGCTGCCTGGGCCACTTCAGCTTCTACCTGGGACCCAACCTCTCCATGTCCGTACAGTACTATAACTACTTTCAGCGACGCGCCTATCCGCGCAAAGTGCAAATCCTGCGCAGGGACAACAGCTTGGTGAGCACCAAGCGGGTGATCACGGTGCAAAAGAAGGACGAGGAGTCGGAGGAAGTCCTTCACGAGTACCAAATCAAGTCGACGGGCGGTTGGTACAGTTGCAACGTGGGCGGGAAGAACTTGCGCATTAGCACAGAGCAGATAAATCGGGTGCGCAACCTGCACAAGCCTCAAATGATGCTGCTGGGTTTCAAGCACCGCTCCTCTCTGCCGGAGGTGATTTACAGCAAGCCCTCAAATTTCATGTATCCCGACGATCAGAGTATCATCGGATCAAAGCGTCTGTTCCGGGCTCTGTGGGAGCGCTGCTTAGCGCGGGAAAAGATAGCCATCTGCCTGTTTATGAGCAGGCGCAAGTCCATCCCTCGCTATGTGGCACTGGTGCCAGTGGAGGCACCGGATAAAGCGGACGAGAAGAACTACCGCTCGCTGCTCTGCGGCGATGGATTTAAGATCGTTTACTTGCCGGAGGCCAAGCACATCCGAACATAGATATGTATGATTGGAACGATACTGGGAATTCGGCTTCCGATGAGGGCGTCGAGTTTTTCCAAAAGATCATCAAGAAGCTGCGTGTTGACTACCAGCCCAATCTGATCAACGACCCAAGTCTGGACGCCCTGCAGGCGAATCTTTTGGCGCTTTCCTTGGACTTTACGACGGACAACAGTAGCTTTGATAATCTGCTGGACACCACGCAACAAGACAAGCGCATCGAAAAGATCGTGCCCGAATACGAGAATATCTTCGATCCAGAGAGGAGCCGGCAAGAAACGAGCAGCTAAATCCACCGCAGACGGTGCAAGCGCCCCGAAAATGCCAAAGGTAGACGAAGAGCAGCTTAAGAACTTGGACTTTGTAAAGGTCTAATCAAGGATAAGAGCCTGCAAACTGCACAGCAGCCCAACTTCAGTTTATTTTGCGGTTCCATTTCGATATTTCGATGCCCAAGTCGGCAACAAAGGCAAAATTGGTGGAACGAATCGAAGCTTCAAGTGAGTCCGCCGCATAATGTTATATTTGTTGGTAAATACTGTATATAATCCTAAAATTTCTTATTTGTAAGATTGTTTTGTTTAGTCGTTTAAGTTTGCGACCTATGCAATCTGTATTAAGTATATTCAAGTTACCGATTTTCATTTAATATAAGGAGAAAAGTGAAAATGTATTTGTGTATTTAACCCATATTCAGAATAAAAGGGAGTTAAAGAGTAAAGTATAAAAATATAATTGTAATTATAAATTTACATATGTTGCAAGCATATACGAAAGTATGAATAACCATTTTTTGGATTAGTAAAAATAGTAGGCTTATACTTTAAAAATAGCTAAGAATCCTTTTGAAAGTCGATAGTTGCTTAAAATTTCCATCGATAGAAATAACTGAGCGCGGCCAGTGTTGGAAAACGCATGTTTGCTACATGTGATAGCGCCGCGCCGGTTTCTTTTTGCGAATTTTGGACATTGCGAATTATTTATTGTAAACTGCCGCCCCAGAATGTCGCTGCAATTCCAGAACGACTGCGGAGATTCCGTGAAGCAGGCGATCATCGAGGAGCTGCAGAACCTCCTCAGCTCGGACACAAGAGTCCTGCAGCTGGCGGAGAAACGGACAAAGCAGCTGGAGTACACGGAAGGTGATTTGGCGGGCAGCCAGATTGGCGTGGCTTGGGTGGGGTCCACATGTAGCTTCCTAACCCATGTCAACCCCTCACAGGCTATGGCGTCTACCTGTCCGAGATCATCATGAACCAGGCTCATGAGCTGCCACTCCGACAGATTGCGATCGTGATGCTCACTCGCTATGTGGAGAACCACTGGACGGATGACCAGGATCGGGTGGAAAGGCCAATGGCTGCATGGCCAGCGAGCAGGCGAAGCGCACCATACGGAACATCCTGCCAACGGACTGTACGACCCCAACTCCAAGATCCGCTCGTCTGTCGCCCACACCATCTCCACCATTGCAGCCACGGATTACCCACAGGGTTGGGCGGAGCTCTTTGACATCATTGTCAAGTGTCTGGGCGGCAACGAGGACTCCATTCACGGAGCCATGCAGGTCTTGCAGGACTTCACCTACGATGTGGAGCAGATCAAGGAACTGGGTCCGGTGGTAATACCCGAGGTCTATCGCATTTTCGACTCGGAGCAGAATTACTCCATTAAGACCCGTGTATCGGCCATCCGCATCCTAAAGCCTCTGTTCGCTTCCATTGCCACACTGATATCCAACAAGGATGAGCAAGCACCATGATGAGCTCCATTTGACGAATTTATGGACAAGCTTATGCATTACCTTAGCATGAACAGCGGTGCCGGATCGAGTTTCCTCCTCCGCTCGGAAATCATCAAGGGTGGGTTGATTACCGCTTTCCCGAAAGTAAACTAATCTTGAGTTCCTCACTTTAGTGTTTACCCATTGGTCAACGAGATGCCCAAGTACATAAACCCCTTCATGGACCGCGTTTTGCCCATCGTTGGCAGCTGCTCACCCAGATTGCCGAGACGTACGTAAAAGTGTCGGTGAACCAGACTGAAACGAATCCCCTGGCCAGCGGCGACAGCGAGGAGGACGACGAGCAAACCAATTTCCAAACACTGATCATCCAGATCCTAGAGTTCATCAACTGCATCCTGACATGCAACAAACTACGTGGCAGCATCAAGAATGTGCTGGCGGATCTTATCTACATCACAATCGTATACATTCAGCTAAGCGAGAGCAGCTAGAGGACTGGCAGGATGATCCGAAAAGTTGTGGACGATGAGGATGATGGTGGCGTGGAGCTGACGGTACGCATGTGCGGTCGCGATGTTTTGCTGGTAAGTGGAGGGCTTCTCTATAGATTTTAACTGACAATCTACTTCCCCAGGCCATAACGACGAGTTTGGAGCAAATGCCATTCAGCCACTGCAGGAGGCTTGGGCAGGCATTTCAGCGTGGCCGAGGCGGAAAAGGCCGCCAACAACCCCAACTGGTGGAAGATCCAGGAGGCCTGCATGGACGCCGTTCATGCTTTCCGCGATATTATCCTCGAGGGCGACTCTACGTTTGACCTGCTCAACTATTTGAACATAGTTCGCAATATGCTCGTCACCAGGAATCGCCCCCTCTAGTCGGTCGCGCTCTCTGGACTCTGAGCACCTACTCCAAGTCGGACCTTTACAATCCCCAGATGTTGGCCGAGATCCTTGATGTCACGCTGTGCAGCTTGTCGCCGGAGAAGTCGCACATCCTGAGGATCAGTGCCGTACGCACCCTGAACGGTTTCCTGCAGGCGAACGAAACTATCGAGGGGGAGAAGCGCACTTTGCTGGTGTCCAAGCTGCCCGGTTTTCTAGAGGGAATTATGGCTTTGGTGCCGGGTTGCAAGGCCACAGTTTTGGCCCTGCTGATGGAGGCATTGACCATCATGGTCAAGGTAAGTGACAACCTTTGATTGTCTATTTATGAAATCTAAGTATTAATTTTTGTTTTCAGTTTGATGCGGAATTCGCCTTTGCCAGCCAGGCCAAGATTACGCCCTTGGCCATTGCTGTGTTCCTCAAGTACACCGAGGATCCGTTTGTGCTGGAAACGGTCCAGGATCTTATCAAAGCTCTGTGTCAGCGCAAGGAGTGCCTTGGACCGCTGCAGGAGAAGTTCATTCCAACAATCGTGAGCATCCTGGGGCTGACAGGAGCAGCCTCCACCGAGAAGCAGGACATTGCTTTAGATGTCCTGAACACAATCGTGCGGTACACAGAGCCGCCGCTAAGCAACTCATTGCTGGAGACTGCCTTTCCCGCCATAATCAACTGCGTCATGCACACGGATGACCATGCCGTCATGGTAGCCGGCGGCGAGTGCCTGCGCAGTTTCATTAATGTCTCGCCGGAGCAGATTTGCAGCTACAAGAATGGAGAGGGCGTCAACTGCATCATGCAGGTGGTGGCTACTGTCCTGCTAAATCCGATGAACAGCGAAATGACGGCGGCCGGCCAAGTTGGACGTCTTGTTATAACCATTATCACAAAGATGGGTAGCATGCTGGGTCAAAACGTGGACATGCTCCTGAAGGCTGTGATTAGCAAAATGCAGAACCTTGAGTGCCTAAAAGTGATCATGAATCTGGTTTTAATCTTTGCCCATTTGTTCCTTACCCAAATGGACGCCGTGCTCAATTTCCTGTCCACTGTTCCCGGACCAAACGGAGAGCCTGCGATGCAGTTTGTGCTCACCAATTGGCTTTCGCGCCAAAACTCCTTCTTCGGCAACTATGAGCGAAAGGTATATATTATAAATATATATATAAACTTATTTTCTAACCAATCCTTTTGTTTTCCCACAGGTCACCACCATGGCCCTCTGCAAGTTATTTGAGTATGGAGTGGCCACACAAGACAACCGCTTGACCACAATAACTTTCAAGGAGCTGGTGGACGACCCCACGGATACCCGTAGACGTACTCGCTCCGTGGCAGCAACAACCCAGAAGTGGGTTACCATTCCGGCGCTCGTTAAGATCTTCAAGGTTTTGATCTCCGAGTACCAGCACTTCCAAGAGAGCAAGACCGATGAGCCTCTCACGGACAGCGAAGAGGACGGCGAGCCTGAAGATGCTCCCGGAAATCCGGCCAAGCCGCGATACATCTCCGATCTGTTCGAAACAGATGAGGATAATGCCGATGATGAGCAGCTGCTGCAGGAGCTGCTCAAGGAAACCAACTACCAGGGCGACATTGCCGACAATCTGCAGAAGTTCCTTACCACCTTCACGCAGAACGAGCATTTCCCCACCTTCTACGAACACCTTACCGAGGGCGAACGCCTCGTCCTGCTCAACAAGGTGCAGCAGAAGTAGAAGGATGCAGCTGGTGGAACCTCTCTTTTTTACGTGTTGTACGTCGAATTGTGTTAATTGTATTTATATATTGTTGCTAACCCTTGGATTGAATAAACATTTATATATTTTCTAAATAAGCCGGTTAGAAGTTGAAATGGATTTGATTTTGGAAATAGGAAAAAATAACGCGATTATAAAAAGCCACTCATAAAATGTAGATATTTAATTATTTTAATATTACAAGGGATCAAAATCGGTTAGGTTAAAATGGAAACATTTACCCAGCATTAGATTTAGGCGTATCCTGGGCTCTAGGATCGAATTCGCATGATCACAAGGCCACCTCGTCGTGACGGAGCTTGTGCTGAAGTGGAATGTCGGCCTTGTAGGCATCCTGTAGGAAAACACAAAAATAAACCGGATATATATTTGATAAGATCTATTAAACTCACCATGGGCTTTTCAAAGCCGAAAGCAAAGAACTTTCGTATGCAGGGGTGAGTAGCACTGGGTCCACTTTGTTGGGATTATTCTTTCCAAATACCAAGGTTCCTAGCAGAGCTACGATTATAGTGATGGAGGCACCAAAAGTGGTGTACCACATATACGAGATCCGGTAGAGCGGAAAGATGTCCCTATTAATTCGAGGATTATCAAAATTGGTCTAGTAAGTGAAGATCTTAAACTTACTCAGCAGATGCCACCAGGTGAGTTGAGTTGGCCAGACTGGTGGTCACATTGTAGCTGTAGTCGCACTGCTCCACATTCAAAGGTTTCGTATGGTAGCTAATGGCTCCAGAGGCGATGGCCCACTGGGCATTCAGACTAACCCAGGACATGGCAATCACACCCATAACCCCGCCCAGCAAGGCGCTCTGAAAAAAGTATTATACAATTTATAGTGTACTGAAATGTTAACGATAAATAATACTTTAAATAGATTTAAAATATTTTAGAATTTATAATTTATTTAAACTTACATTTCCATTGATCCAGGGTAAAAACAGACCTATAGTGAAGATGCCAAATAGTGGACCGTTCGTAATCGCCTCCAACTCATGGTCAGCTGAAGGACAGTTCCCATATGCTCCACAACGTAGACCAGGCACACACAGAGGGCTCCTACTCCAACTACCACGAGGCGCATGATCCAGTTGATGGCCGAGCTGGAGAGCGGTTTCTTCACGTAAGGCTTGACGAAATCCTCCAGAACCACGGCAGACATGGAGTTGAGGCAGGTGGAAAGGGAGCTTAAGGCGGCACTGAAGACGCCGGCAATGAAGAGTCCAGTCATGCCGGGCAGTTCACCCAAGGTCTTCATCACAAAGAGCGGGAGCAATTGATCTCGGGCCTTTGCCAGCTAGAATTGGATTGTGATATATGATTCTTCAAAAAATTAAATTACCAAAGACCAAACCCACCTTGGTGGTCAGGGGATCACAGTTCTGGTAGGTGGCGTAGATCAGCAGCCCATTGTATCCACAGAGCGCCATCAGGATGAGCACGCCGACGCAGAAGATGCAGAGCGCTTTCCGGGCATCGCCGAGGGACGGAAGGGACAAATACCTCTGGATCATGTTCTGGGAAACAGCATTGGTCTGCGTCCAGTAGACAATCCCTCCGAAGAACAGGCACCAGAAGGTGTGGCGCACAGTGGGATCGATGCGAAGACTGCAAGACATGGTACACATATTCATTTATATATAAAATATTATATACTTACTCTGGTGCTTCCAGCCGATCACTGTTCCAAGCTCGCTCCAGTACCACTCCTGCTCCTCCAATGTCGTGTGTACCCTTTATCGCCACCAAGGAGAGCGCTCCTACCATGGACACTGCCTGCACCACGTCTGTCCAGACCACTGCCTTTAATCCACCTAGACTTGTGTAGAAAACGCAGATGATGCTCACGATCGGCGTGATCGTATGGACTCCAATTCCTGTCACCTGGTTGAAGGCCAACGCAGGTACATAGATTACGATGGCAGATAGGCCACCTAGGATGGGATTTATGGTATAACTTTTATTTCCTCTATCAAAAAACCCTATAAATTATATTAAACTAAACCCATCTAAAACTCTATTAGGTAACGTTAACCCTTATATCTCATCGCTTTTATAATCTTGAAGACAAATTTAGTTCAAGAATTAAGAAATAATTTAAGAAAGTAATTAGTTTATCCCTGAATTATAGAACAATAGATCAGATAAGTGAATAATTGGGTCTTGAGGTCTCCATATACTCACATTCATAATGGCAAACATAACTGATCCGTAAAGGCGTAGCCTGCGATCGAAGCGAATCTCCAGATACTGTTAGGAAATCGAATATATTTCTGATAAATCCAAACATATATATCCAAGACTCACCTCGTAGGTGGATGTGATATTCAGGTCGTGGAAAAACGGGTAGGTAAAAAACACCCATCACCACACCCATGCCGATGACGCCGCAGGCCACATAGAGATACTGGATCCCATAGGAGTACACCTCGGTGGGAAGACCGAGCAGCGTGATTCCGGATACAAAGCTGGCCACCAAAGAGAAGGCGATGGGGATGACGAGCATCTTCGTCCGCCTAGCATATAGTCATCCTCGGAAACGGACTTGTTCATGAATCCGAAGTATATCCCGATCCCGATGCAGAGCAGGAACATCGAAACAAAGGCCACATAGTCCGGCCAGGCGAACTGCTGCAGCTCGCCCAGAATCTCCTCGATGTTCGCCATGGCGACTAACTACGTTGGATTTGGATGGTATATGTCCGACTCTCAGGTCCGTCGGTGGCTCACTGAGCCCATATGCTGCCCAGATTTGGGTGCCTCTGCCCAGGCGGCTGTGATTCAATTCAATTCCGCTCAATTATCAATTGTGGGGTAATTTAGTTTCGGGGGCACGGGGCAACGACTATCTTTAGTTAAGCCGGCGGGCGAGGGAATTACGACACCTCCGTCTCCAGTTCCGGGAACGTCCCATTGATCATCGCTCCTCCGCGCAAGCACTGGCCCAATTCCCACTGGGGTCGTCACAGATCCCCCTTGTAAGCAATTATGTCACCCAGTACGCAAAGTGATCTTTCGAAAATTCGCCAAGAGCCGGGCGCCGCAACTTAATCTCGGCACCAATCACAACCAAATCCCGGAGGTTGCACTACGGATCGGCATTTCCCGAAAAGTAACGCCCAATTGACGCTGTCGGAATTTTTACTGATGCCGATTGTAGTTGCACAAGAACTGAGTGGGAGCCATGCGCTACCCGAGGCTTACTACGTATATAGTCATTCACAGAACCACCTGGCAGAGAGCCAGGAGAACTGCAGCGGGATAGGAGCGGGATCAAGTGCAAGATCACCGGCGAAACGGCGGGAGCAATCAACAGAGCACTCGGAAAAAATGTATAAAAATTCGAAATATTTTCAAAAAGTAACTTTAGGAAATTTTAAATAATGAACAAAAGTGTTAATAAAATTGTAAACTAGATTATACATCACTATAATGTACAAACTGAAATCTATAAAGGTTTTAATATTAATTAGTTCTTAAAAATGGTTGTTTTTAAAACAACTTGAAATATTTAAAAATGTAAATACATAATGAAAAAGTTGAATTTTATTTAAAAATGTTTGAAAAAATAATAACGATTTAAAGAAACGTTTACAAATAGGTACATCTCATTACAAAACTTAATTTTTTCAGTGAGGTTGTCCCTCAACTTGAAATCATTAGCAACAATCTCACAGAGAATTTGATTCATTTTAAATCACCGGCCTGCAGTTCGCTCTTCAGTATCCAAGAGGCCGCTCTCATCGCAATGGACGCGACCACCGAGTTGGGATTCCCCGAGATGGGGCGGGGCAGGACTATGAAAAAATAATCATAATTATTAATGGATTCACAAAATATTTCAAATTTTTGCAGATGATGATGAAATACAATTTGTTGGTTTAAAATAGATTTGAATTAAAAAGAGCCTTACCGCTGGCATCCACCACCCGCACATTGGACACTCCCTGCAATCTGAAATCACACACATTTGCAAAATACATTTGATGTCACAACATTTCTACCTCAATTGTGAGTCCAGACGCTGCCCAGGGCACATGTGCCTCCTGGATGGTGCGATCCCAGGCCAATGTGCCGCATCAGACACTCCAGATAATGATCCGAAGGTTTGTTGTCGAAGAAGTCCCGCTCGAAGGGACCGAAGTTAGAGCACGCCTGCAGACGAGGCCAATGGATGCGGGGATGCAGTGAAGCAAAGGCAGCCGAAGTGACCAGCTGATATTTAATATACCATTAGATCGAACTCATGGAAGTCGTAATATATGACTTACCTCCACTGCACTTCGAATGGCCGCAATGGTGCAGGCCACATCCTCTTCGCTACTGAGGTAGTTGGGATCTATCAGGGGATTTCTTCTCATGTGTCGGTTAAGAAGTCCCACGGACCCTCGTGACCTTGGCTGCAGGCAGTTAGAAATAACCACGAAGCCCTCCTGGGAGGCGTTATAATAGCGTGGAAAGAGAGCCCGGAATGCTGGTCCCTTAAAATTGGATATTGACATCAGAGAAGATTCATCGATGGCACCGGCTCCAAAGAAGGTGATGTCGAAGGGTGAGGCTCCTGATCCTCCATAACTAGCCACATTTCCCAGCACACCAAAGTTACCCAAGGGTCCGGTTCCAGAGCTAAGGAAGTTAATCAAGGTCATGGGATTCAGGAGTGTGTTCTGGTTTAGGGTGGGACCAGTAACACCCATTGAAACGAAAAGTGGAACATTGAAGTGATCGTGCAGGTTGTGACCCACCAAAGGTAAGCTATGCTGAAGGGGAATCCCCATTTTGTTCAATACGGTTGTGTCTCCGATTCCAGAAGCCAACAGAAGCTGAGGAGTTTGGTAAGCACCAGCGCAGAGGATTAACTCTCTTCTCACTTCGATACTGAATTCTTGCTCCCTGTTCTCCTCATCCTTAATCCCCACCAGAATGGAGGTGGCATGGAGCAATGGACTGGAAGATAGTTGAATCCGCTTCACCAAAGCATCGGGCAGCAGACGGAGATTGGATTGATGAAGCATTGGATTTAGGAACTGCTGCAACACTGAATAACGCAGTCCATTCCTTATATTATACGTAGACCGCCGGAAGATCCAATCCTTGTGGGAAAACTGAGCCTGTGCCTCGTTCAGTGATTCAGTTAACTTGGAGTAACGTATGGGGATTTCAAGCATATCCGGGGGCTTGGGCTTGGCAGCCGCCATAAAGGATCTCATCTGGGCCCAGCCCCAATCGCTAAGATTGTGCAGATCCCGCCAGGAATCAAAGTCCGGTCCGTGACCATCAAAGTGCAGCATATAGTTAAGATTGGCTGAACCCCCAGTCCCTTGCCTCTCGGGAGGCACTGCCTTCGTTCGATGAGACCTTGGAGGAGTGTTTCTGGGGAACGGAGAGGAAGGACCAGTCGTTAATGCCCTTCTGCTGGAAGGTGGTCAGCAGGGGAATACGACTGAGTAGTCCAAACTGACCTCCAGCCTCGACGAGCAGGACACTTCCATTGCTGTGCTTGGCCAGCAGCGAAGTGAGAGTGCTTCCTCCAGTTCCGGCTCCGACTAAAATAAGGTAAGGAAATATTTTTATCATGGTATATTTAATTGGATATAATAATGTTATCATGATTGTACAATATAAGGTAACTTATTTTAATTAATTCTAAACCACTCACCAATCACATAGTCAAAAGCAAATTGTCGCTCCTCTGGGGTTAAAACATTGGGTACGGAATTCTTCAGCAATGTGCCTGCCAGGATCACAATGACAGACAGGAATCCTATGATAATCCCACCCAAAACCAGGATCTCTGCAAGACAAAGACTCAAAAACTATTTGTTTATATTTTTCCTGAGCTTACTTTGAAATTTCAGGCCCATGCTGTTCTGTGCGATGACGAAATCTAACTAGTTGGAATACGGGAACTACTGACTGCCGTGGACTTGGTCTAATCCAATTAAAGCCTTCAAGGGGTGGGATTGGGCGCTAAATTTGAATTCAAGTGCACCGCATATCGGCCGGAGATGAGCTTTTGGCGAACGATATTTTGATAGTGATGCATAAAGCTAGAAATGTTTTCTACCATTTTGTATACTAAAATAAATTAACAACAAAAACATCTTAAATAAAAAGTAAAATTTCGGAAGCTATGCTTTTATTAAAAAACCAACCTCAAATGAGTCACAAAATTCATTTCAACCCAATATAAGGCTCTTGAATTTTATATTTCAAACACATGCAGAAGTAATTAGTTAATCCTATATTCTAAAAATTAAATGAACCCATTGTTATTAGAAAAGTTATAGTTAGGGGTTGCTTTTACCCCACAGCCTTCGATCATATCTTCCTCCCAGCTTTCTTTTTAGCTTTTTCCCGCCAAATCCAGCTGGCTGCATTTCGATTCCTATTTCGATATCGACGCGCACTCATCACTGGCAGCCGTAAGCCACCTAAATTCTTTGTTATTGCATTCGGCTATTCGGCTCGAAGATCATTATTTGATCGACTCCAGGCTCGCCGCGATAATATGCGGGCCTCTGTTATCACTCGCCAGTGGAAGTGCGAAGCCAGAACAGCTGCTAGTCGGACAGCAGCGAAAACAAAAGGCGAGCGGTAACAATAGCCCAGATCCAGATAATCAGCAGTGGAAGATCACTCGGCGGAGAGCCCCCATTCAGAAGTCAGAAGACCGAACAATGAACTAGCACTAGCCGCTATAGAAAACAGCAGAGCTCAGAAGAACATTGTACTGCCGAGGAGCAACAGGTGTCACACAATGGGCGACCAGCAGGAGGAGACTCTGCAGCAGCTCTTGGATTTGCTGCCCAAGGATCAGCGGCAGGTCTTTGAGGTTGGTTTTGGCATCCATTAAAGTCCCCTTACCTTAATGTTCACCCTCTTGACAGACCTTCATCCAGGTACTTCATGGCAAATCCTCAGGACCCATTCAATCCCACCAGAACGCCCTGCAATCCGTGCTCCAGGCGTCGCCCTATCCCGCCCTTCAACTTCTGCAGTTACTTCACGAGCGCTCCAAGTTGCACATTGGCCAGATAATCGCCACCTTACTCCATCAGCTGCTAGACGGCGATGTCTCCTCACCGCGTTCCCTTTGTGCGCTGGCGAACTTTCCGGCGAGCATTCTAGAGGCACCCACACTTCGGCAAAAGCTAATGACTCGTCTAGTGGGTGAATCAGTCACCAGCGAGCACTTAATGCTGGCCTTGTTGGCGCGCAGCGAGGGGCAGCTTCTGGAAGATCTGCTGCAGGAGCAGCAAGTGGCCTTGCGGATGCAATGCGGCGAGTCGGCGCCTACCAGACTTCTGGTTTTGTGGCTGGCCCTCAGCCAAAAAGAGCACTTCGTGGCCAGTGTGTGCCAACAACTGAAGGACTTTCAGTGCTTCAAGGACCCCACGCTGAGGAACGCCTTGCTTATCTTGCGACTAGCCAACGAGTTTGCCTTGGGCGCGCAGACTTTGGACGAGCTTGGCTGTCTGGACAAATTCTTAGAGGAGTTTGATGTTAGCGCTGTGCCGGAGGAGTTGCAGGAAGTTCATCGGTTCTTCTACGCCGACTTTCAACGACTGTCCACGCTGCTCAACTTCCTGCGTCCGCGGGAGGTAAGCAAAACACTTAAAGTGGATGCCCTGCTCCGGGCGCCGGGTGTACTCTCCGTGATACACGAAAATGGAATTCGTTGTGAGCACCAGGAGCTGCTGCGCCTGCTTGAGGATACCTACAAGTGGCAAAAGCAGACTCCTGCACTGAAGTGTCACCACCAGCAGGAGGTAGAGATTCTGAGCTACTACACTGCCCTCTGTCATGTGTACAATGTAATACTGGACCAGGGCGAGACGACGACCAAGGCCAAGCTTGTGCAGCTTTCCGGGCAATTAAGGCAACTGCACCAGTTGGGAACCTTGTGCTCTCTGCTGGAAGACATATTCCTCTTGGTTTTTCTTCGCTGGGAGCAGCTAGAGCAGAATCCTCAGAAAAGAAGGGAAGATGAGGAGGATGACGAGGAAGATGATGATGAGCAGTACGTCGATGATGACGTCGCCTCGGCCCCACGTCCGACCACTGTCCACAGTCAGCGCACTCGCTACGGGTTCATCTGCCGCTCACCCTCGCTGCAGGCACTCTTCACTTTCCTCAAGGCGTTTGTCACCAAGAAGTTGCATTCCCAAGACTACAAGTGCGCCACGGAGCACCAGCAGAGATTCCAACGCTTAGTGGACGCCATTAGCGAAGCTTTGTGGAAGCTGGGAGTTTTGCAGAAGATTGAACAGTCGCTCATCAAGTCGGCACCATCGATCAGCTGCCTTCTAGAGCCGGAACAGCTACTCCAATTGGTCCACCTCCATAGCACCGCCAAGGAGAAGGCCTCCAGCGACGACGAAAGCCGGGAACGCAGCAACCACGCCTCCAGCCTCAATCGGAGAAAGTCCCGTAGGCAGCGACGGGCAGCCAGCTTCAGTGGAGCAGTTGCTACAAAATCACCCATAGATGGAGGACTCACAATGGAACAATTCCGGGCACGGGCGCAATTGCTTACTGGTAGTGGCAGCAGGAAAACTTCTTGCGTTACTTCTCCGTGTGAGAGGTCCATCATCCCCAAAATGCTCAGTACGCCAGAGCAGCTGGCCATCATGGCGCTGGCCCTTAAGAATTTTAACGATGTCAAGCAGATCATTGAGGTGAGTGGCTAGAAATCTTCCGATAACAGTCTCCTTTGTTATTTATTTAGTACTGATTATTTATTATAAAATAATATGGTCATTTAAAGGTTTAAGATACAAATTAATTTGTTACTAATAAAATACTAATTTTCTTTTTTGCTGTTCACAGACCTTCCATCTGGAGCAAAGCCAACTAAACCGGGAGCTGCACTTCATGGAGCAGCAGCAACTGGTTAAGCAGAAACTGGCCACCATCTACACCAATTATCAGGCATTAGAAGCGCAGCAGGCCAACTCTGGAGAGACCACCGTAGAGCAGATCAAGGGTGTGGCGGCCAAGGGATTCGAGCTGTCCAAGATCATTAGTGTTGTGGACAACTTTGCGCAGGCGCAGCGTCTGCAACAAAGCCCCGAATTAAAAGCCCTCATCTTGCGACTCAGTTCCAATACACAACAGGGATTTCTTCAGCAGTTCGAGGAGCGCAATCTGAATGCCTTGATCATATGTGATCTTATTGTGAACCTGGGATTCAACCGGGAGATAACCAGCAATTTGTTATTGGTCATTCGGCGCCAGCAGCAGCAGAAGATGGCCAGCGATGAGGCGTCGTCCTCCCCCGGTTCCTCTGAGTTTGGGGCCATGAATCTCCTGCAGAATCTTTGCGAGTGTATGCGTCTGTTAGAGCGATCTGGTCAACAGCCTGCGCTGAATGAGCTGCTCTCTCTAAAGAGTTATCCACTCAGGCCGTCAGTTTTGGCTTTACAGCTCCAAAGGGAGGCAGCATTTCAGACGCTTTATCAAAAGGAACCATCCGACTATTCGCATGGTCAGGAACTGCGCTCCAACGCAGGGCAGTTCCAGCAACTTCGCTCGCGGCACAACTACTATGCCCGCTTCTGCACCTATGTCCAACAACTGGCCCGATTGCTGCAGCTCAGAGATCCCAACCTGGAATACCACACTACTCAGCTCCTCCGCAACGATCCCTATGAAGTTATTGGAGAACTGATCTACGAGTGCGGCATAACGCCCTTGGAAATCGAGGCTAGTGTTGCGGCTCTCCACCTCAATCTCGTTCACGTGATTTCTCTAAACATCTGCCCCCAGTTGGGCGAGGAACCCACGAAAAGATTGCCACGAATTGTGGCTCCGCAAAAACAGGAATCCATACACAACTATATTTCGCAGCACAACCAGCTGTTGGCTCAAATCTTGCTGGCCATACAGCTGGGTAACCTTCCGGATGGCGAGACGGGATTAAACTTCTCTTGCCTGAGACAGTTGGTTAATCTGCCTGAGGTGGAGATCCTGACCTCTATGCATGATGGAAATCGTGTGCTAGCCGCCTTGAATGCCTACAAGTTGGATAGTGCCAGTCTGGACCAGTTGGTGCCGGATCGGGATCTGTTACTGCAGATTCTTCTCCTTGGAATTGGTGGACAGTCAGGTTAGAAAATAACGTATTATATCGAATTTTTATTTCACAAAACTCTTTCTCCAAATAGATTCTCCAAAGCGGATAGAATCCCGTATCGACAAGCTGATTGCAGATCTCATTGAGAAGGATCCTCGTAACATACAGATCGTGGTGCACATGAGCGACCTCGGACTTCGTGCACGCCTACTAAAGGAGCACTTCACCCGCATTCCCAGCAGTCAGCAGGCCAAGGAGCTGATAGAACGAACACTACAGCACCGCCGAGCGGCCAAGGCTATTCCACCTTTCTTGCGTTCTGAATTGGAACACACGCTGTCGGACATAACGATATATGCCAGAGTGTCGGCTCTGCTTCAGTTCGAGAGCTGGCCGCAAGCCTATGACTTTGGACGCCAGACACCGAATGTGATCTTCGAGCAGTTGTTGCAACGCCGGCGGTTTGGCTTGTGCTTGGAGTGGAGCCGTGTGGTTTTCCTGGCTGGATCAGCGGGCCAGCAGCGGGTGTGCTTGCTCACCCTATTGGATGCCCTTCTGGAACTGCGCGATGGTGAGGAGCTGGATGAATCCCTTTTGGGCATTGTGGAAATGTTTCCACCCACATCGTTAGTCAATTTCCTGGATACACACAAGGATAAGTTCAGGTCATTGCCACTGTTGAAGTGGGTGATTGATTACCTCGAAGGCCATGCCCGCGACCCTCGTCTGTATAAGAACTATCAGCTCTCCCTGGAACTCCTACGGCAAATGGATACCAATGAGCGTTCTCAGTTTTGGAAATTACTCCGGCATCCTCTGCTCATTGTAGAACAATTGGTGATGAATGCCCGCTTCGAACTACT